AATAAAAATAAATACAATATATATGAGTAAACATACGAATAAAGCATTAGAAAAGAGGAAAAAATAATAAATAAATGAAAAAATAATAATAACAATAATAACAATAACAATAACAATAAGACTAACTTAAAAGAAAAATAAAATTAAAAATCAATTTAAAGAGGAAAAACTGATTTTGAGGGGTAAAACAAATATTGTAAAAAACGGTGGGAAAAAAACAAAATTCCCCCTTTTCACTTGAAAACGCGCATACCCTGAGGCCGGGTCGGATCGGGTCGGGCCCGTGGGTTGTATAAAACCCAATTTTTTCCCAAAATCTCTCATTTCTTCTTCCCAAAACCTCCCCATCCCCAGTCGAATGTCGACCACCGCCCAATGGCCTCCCCACCGTGCCAACTGTCACTCCGGCCGCCAAAAAGAATAAAACCCACCAAAATGCTCCTCTCAATACCCATAACCTAACCCTGAAGCCTAAATTCCATAAAACCTCATAAAACGACGTAGATCTGAGTGTAAAGGTTCGACCTTTACCATTTTTTCGTCAGTGACTCTTCGTTTCCCGACGAGCTTCGGTTTTGTTCCCTCGACCTTGATTTTTGTTCTCAGCCTCTTGTTTTTTGGGTTGTTTTGTGATGGGTTCGACTGTTAATATTTGTTATTTTGTGTTTTGTTGTTTTGGCCTTTTTGTTGGTTTCATGGTTTGTGTTTTTAGTTATGTGTTTCGACTGTTTTGGATTCGTGTTGATCGTTGATGTTTCTTGTGTTGATTTTTTTTCTCAATATTATTATCCCCGTGGTATTTATATAGCCCCCAACGGGGCTATTTCCGACTTTGACGAGGGTGGTTCCCCTCTTTCAAAGTTTGTTTGTTGACTGGCTAAAATCCCAATATGGGTCAGTCCCAGGATCTTCAGTCGGTCGTTTCGCCCTTTGACCGTTTGGCTCCCCCTGTGCAGCGCCCTCTTACTGGCTGTGAAACCCTAATCGGGTTAGGGTTTGGTCAAGCCCAAACTCGGTTGGGCAGCCCCTTGAATTGGACCGAAACATTGGACCTGGACCAAATTTAAAAAACATTAATAAAATAAATAAAATAAATAAAATAATAATAATATACTAATAATATACTAATAATCATATAAACCATATAATATATATATATATATATTTCAAAAATATTTTTAAACTATATATTATTTAAAAAAAAGTTTTTAAAACTATATATTATATAGTTTTCAAAAATGATTTTAAAAATATTATATAAGTTTTCAAAAAATGTTTTTAAAACTATATATTATATAATTTTTCAAAAAATGTTTTTAAAACTATATATTATATAAGTTTTCAAAATGTTTTAAAAACTATATATTAAATAAGTTTTTCAAAAGAGAAAATAACTTTAGCGACCGAAAATGCCTTATAATATACGATTTTAACCAACTTTTTTTGGATTTGCGAAAATAACCAAAAAATTCGCAACGCGATCTCAAAATCGCAACGCGAACACCAATTTCGCAACACAGTTTTCAAATTTGCAACACGATTCTCCAAAATCGTAACACGAATTTCGCAACGATAATTACCGATATAGGTAAACACACAACTCAATTTTCAAATTCACAACGCGATTCTCCAAAATCGCAATGCAAATTTCGTTTTCGCAACTCGAATTACCGATATAGGTAAACACAACTATTCGCAACTTAGTTTTAAAATTCGCAACTTGAATTCGCTAATTTCGCAACTAGAATTCGCCAATTTCGCAACTAAATTACCGATGTAGGTAAACTCGGTAGAAAAAATCCGGTAATTCGCGTTGTGAAAACGAAATTCGCGTTGCGATTTTGGAGAATTGCATTGCGAATTTGAAAACTGAGTTGTGTGTTTACCTATATCGGTAATTAGCGTTGCGAAAATGAAATTTGCGTTGCGATTTTGGAGAATCGCGTTGCGAATTTGAAAACTGTATTGCGAAACTGGAGTTCACATTGCTAATTTTTTGATTATTTTCACAAATCTAAAAATAATTTGTTAAAATCGTATATTATAAAGCATTTTTGGTCACTGAAGTTATTTTCTCTTTTCAAAAATGTTTTAAAAACTATATATTATATAAATTTTCAAAATGTTTCAAAAACTATATAATATATGTATATTTCCAAAAACCCTTTTCAAAACGATATATATTATATGTATTTCAACAACATTTGCAAACTATATATATATATATATATATATATATGTATGTATATATAAATAAAAAATCGGACGAAAATGAGTGTCTACAGTAGGGATTATTGATATTTTACAAAATTAATTGTGGAGATCCCCAAAAAATATCTGTGAGATTACATGTTGCCACTAATACATCTCAAAGGAACTAAAATTGATGTTTAGATTTTTTCTCATTTAATATACATTGATTTGTTGAGATTGAAAATGGTTAAGATTGTACATATACATTGGGTGTTAGATGGATATTAACGTTTGAAACTTTCATATTATAGATAGAGACCAATTTAATACAATATGATATATCTTACAAGTTTTAGGTGTTGTATTGATCTAAAAAATGTTTGTTTATTTTTTAGGGATCGGGATTAACTGAAACCCGTCAGGATCCTTAAGGGATGGGTATGGAGACAAAAAAAATCCCTAAATATATAAAGAGAATTCCCCAAAATCGTACCCGCAAGTGTTGAGGACAGTAAAGGGTAATACAAAACCATCCCCGTCCCACTCGTTTCCATCCCTAATGACAATAGATTTGATAACATTCATCTCAACCTATTCTATTGCCATCCCTGTAAATTACTAATAAGCACCACATAAAATCATACTACTATCATTTTATATATAAAAAAAATTATTTGATTGATTAATTTTAGGGTAAATTATGTGTTTAGCACATAAACAATTAATTTTGGTATGCTTTAATACCTAAACTTTTAATTTTTTTAGAAAACATACCTCAAGTTTTGTTTTTTTGTTTCATTTTTAGTATCACGCTGTTAAAAATTTTAGTTTTGTTTTATTTTAGTATCACCGTTCAAAATTTAACGTTAAATTTTAAAAAATTAAAAGTTGAGGTACTAAAATAGACAAAAAATGATAGTTTACGTAATAAAAGCGTTAAGGTTTTAACGACGGGTACTAAAATAAAATAAAATTTAAACATTAGGTATGATTTTGAAAAAATTAAAAATTAATGTATTAAAACACATCAAAATTGATAGTTTAAGTACTAAATACATAATTTACTCTTAATTTTACTAACAATAGAAATTAATGCATTTTTTATATAGATATCACTTTAATCAATATCATGGAGTTGTGATTCATTTTTTTAATAAAAAATGGGACCATGTTTTGCAATTAAAATAAATTATATTTTTATGTCATTAAGGTTAGGATTAGTTGAAGTATCAAATCATATTTAACGAATAGAGCTTAAGTGTTCCATTTTCTTGGCAATGGCAGCCTGATCTACATTCAAGGCCTTAAAATAATAGATGATCTATGATTCAATTTTGTAATTTAATTTTTTTTTTCAAATTATGTATTTTTTTTTAGTTAATTGTATCATGTCTCCAAACTGAAAAATAATTCATAAAACTGAAAAATGTTTCTTAAAATGTCTAAAAAAATTAGAAAATTCTGAAACTATAATGATTTATGTTTTTTTTGGAGTTAATTGTATCATATGTCTCTAAACTATGATCATCATTCTAAATTAGTCTCTAAACTTTTAAATATTCTACTTTCATTCTCAAACTATGATACTCATTTTAAATTAGTCCTTAAAATTTTTAATGTTCCAATTTCATCCTCAAACTATGATCCTTAGTCTAAATTAGTCCTCAAACTTTTAAACCTTCCAATTTCATCTCCAAATTCATCCAAATATGCAATGAATTTTAACCAAAATTTAACCTAAGCTTTATTTTTTTTTCAAACATATAATAATATAAATTGAACCAACTATTTTACTAACATGGAATGTGATTAGTTTATACATGTAATTTGGGATGAAATTGAAATATTGAAAATGTTTGGGGACTAATTTAGAATGAAGGATATAGTTTGGGGATGAAAGTAAAATATTCAAAAGTTTGACAACTATTTAGAATGATAGTCATAATTTAAGGATAAAATTATAATATTTAAAAGTTTAGGGAATAATTTAAAATGAAAATCCTAGTTTAAAGACGTATGGTGCAATTAACTTCTTTTTGTATTACGAGAATTTCACTCGAAAGAAACAAATGTGAAATAGAATTATCTACGTCCCAAGTTTTAAAATATTATAATATACGTGGCAAACAACAATTGGTTACTGAACTTTCGAAACATGTGGGGGTCAGATTTTACTGCACGATGATTGGTGCTGGTTGACCGTCTGAAAAGTTACAGATAAAGACAAACACTTTTTGCAAAAAGATGTTAGATTTCAAAAGCAAGGAAGATTAGATATGGTTTTGAAGGCGACATAATACAGAACACACCGATCTTCGTCCTAAAATCTGAAAACCTCGGTGGGTTTTGTTTCATTTACTGTTTTCTTCATATAGTCTAGCGTAACTTTTTGGTTGTTTTTTGGGGTCAGATTCAGTTCAATGAGTCATCTTCAAAGTTGCTGAGTTCACCCTCTAGTTTTACCTGGTACGTGAAGGGTTAAGCTTTTAAATTTCATCCCTTTGTGAACTTCTGTTGTGATTTTGTAATAATTGCTTGTGGTTGGAAAGGTCTATTATGATGTTGAATCCCTTGAAAAGTTGGATACTTTTTTTTATTTGTAATTTTTCTTTATTTTTCTGGATTTGACCCTGTTTCTGCTTGATTCTTGATGGGATTTCCTTTTGGTTAACTGTTTAAGGATTTGATTCATAATCTGATGTTTCAGTTTTGGATATGTAAAAATGTTTCAGATGTTGAGATTCAACCCTGACATCTATCTGTTTGTTAAAATTCCTCAATGGTTAATCGAGTATATACTAATTTCTTTTTTTTTTATTCCTTTCTGTTGTTGTATGACAGGATTTTTGAGTTCTTTTATTGAAATATCTGGCAAAGAACAGGCTTACAATAATCATATTATTGTAAAGGAAACATCAAACATGGTTCAGAAACTAGAAGCTATCAATGGCGGTGGTGGAGGATCAATCAAGGTGGGAACAAAAGGGTCAATCAGTTCACTGATGACAAGGGAACTGAACTCCATTAAAACACCAAAGCAATCACCTGTATCTTCTAGACACAAGTCTCTGGCCACATCGGTTGCTGCTTCATCGGTGATTCCGAGACGATCACAGCAGAGGAAATCGTCGGATGGAGTCGGCACCAGCGGCGGTCGCAACGGCAGTCATAAAACCCCCCAGAGTTCTGTTCAGAAGACAGCTTTTCTAAAAACTTGCATCAGATGCCAATGCTTGGCTCCGAAAATGTTGCATTAGAAAGAACTCCTATCTGACAGAAAAGTGACAAGAAAGTGTCCAACATTGTTGAAGTTGTGGACATAAAATGTGGGAATTCGGATCGAGCATGGGCGAGTCCGATAACGAATCGTCTCAAGAAGCTCGGATTCTCCAAGCTCTCCGAGAGCATCATTTAGGCTTGAAACTTCTTTGAATCCGATTTCAGGTTCCTATATCCGAAACCCGAAACCCCGACCGGCCTGTTTTCCGCCATAGAACAAATGCTTGCTACAAGCTTGCTGCCTCCTCCTTTCTTCTTCTTTTCAGCTGCCACAACTGGTCCAACAATAGATCTACGGACCCGGTCGAAGTACTCGATCTCTTGCAGTACCAAGGATCCCACAGTGCCTTTGGTACCTATTTCAACAGGACGATGTGCAGCCACTTCAACTGCAACATTTTGGCCACTGCTTTTTGATCTTTGCATCCTTTGTTCTTGGTGTTCCACTGGTTGTTTGGTCTATCAAATGCTTTCGATCTCTCTTTATTTAAAGTGAACTACATTGAACATTTAAGCTCCTAACTAACTGTGCCTGTTCTCCTTTAACTACATTACATTGGTTTTATCTTAATGCTGTTTGTGCATGGTACTGTCAGTTACCTACTGCTGATAAGCTTATATAATGAAGATTTTTTTTCACCGTACTGCTCTTGTATGTGTTTTGAAATTAATATGGATGTGTCCAATTTTCATGCACAGACACAAGAATTTATGTTAGGTTAGGCTACTAACTTAGGGATTATAGTAGAAATTTAAGAAAAGCGAAATTTAAAATTTTAAGTTTGGATCTTGTTCTTTGATGAATAGAGTTGTGAAATCTAGTGAAGCAAAGTTGAGAGTATGCTTACGTATGGCAGACCATGGCGTCCAACCTAGTGAATGGTAGGGATATTTGGTCCCATGGGCAACTTATGTATTTTTATAAGAATATAAGATAAATCCAAGAGATTTGTGAGGATCAAATTTACTAACTAGCGACTGCATTTATAGACCTTGTTAACCTACTAATGACAATGATGATCCTAAACTTGACACTAGCATACACAAAGGCTCAATATATGAAATCTAATGGTTGATAGAGAAATGATCTCATTTTTTTTTTCCAAATACTTGTTAGAAAATCTATTCCAGATCGCGACTCTCTCCTACATCTTTAACACTAATTTTATCGATCAATCATTGTCTGCAATACTCAAATAAAAAAGAGTGAACTAGTCTTGATCGGTATAACCACCTTGTTACTGTCAACAATTTTGATATAACATGTTTAATCTAAATAATTTCCTATTACGTTTTCGTAAAATATTAAATATAATTAGATATGGGTTACTAGTGTAATGACAATTGAGTTGTATGATTTTCTAAGCCTATAGACATCATGTCTAGGTTTGAACCATGTCCTGTCCTCAACCTATAATAGGTAATAAATTAAATGGTGTAGTGAATGTTGGGTGAAGAGCGACTGAAATGTAAAAAAGAGTCGGGCAGAAAATCCTTGTTTCATGAATCATGTCTATTGACCGTAGGTGTGCCTGGGAATAAAGTGGGTGGTCCTCAAAATATAATTATTTGGTCCCAATGTTCCTGTTTCTATCATCAACTAAACCTTCTTCTTTAATGAAGCAAATCCATAACCTACTGCAATTGATATTGACTCGTGTGTTTTCCTTCTATTATGTTGCCTATTGGGCACTGCTACTAACCAGCTTTCCCCTCTTTTTGTAGGGCCACCTTGTCTTTGAGGATTTTTTTAATCTAAATAACATCGAACCTATTAAGTGATCTATGTAGTTGTCAACACACATTTTTCGTCCTACTAGGATTCAAACTCCTAAAAATAGGATAGAATTTTAGGATTCAAACTCCTAAAGATATGATAGAATTTTGCTAGGATTCAAAAAATAGGATAGAATTTTATGATTTAAACTCCTAAAGATAGGATCCACAAGCACTATAAATAGCCATTGTAACTCACCATTGTAAGACACGATTTACACACAAAACATAGAGGAAAGCACGAGAAGATACAAAGGCAAAACTATTGTAAACGATTCGAAAAATAAATAAAAGGTAGTATCTTTTTTACTTTTGATTTGGTCTCTTACATTTACGTTTTAATTATTATTATTTTATTTATTTAACTTTATTTATAAGCACATTTCCATTGTTACTCATTTTATTTAATTATTTTGTTATTTTTCTTTTCTTTTTTTTTCATGTAATATTTTTTTACATTTTATGTATTTTCTTTTTTACTTTAGTATATATTTTTATTTTTATTTTTAGATTATATATATAAATATATTATTTTTTTATCAGTTTTATTAATTTATATATATATATATTTACTTTTTTTATTTTTTTATTTTATATATATTATTTTTACTTTTTTATTATTATTTATTTATTTGTTTTATTTCTATATTTTTTCTTCTTTTCTTCTTTTTCTTTATTTTTTATATTTATTTTACTTACTATTTTATCTTTGTTTTCTTTATCTTATCTTTTATTTAATTTGTTTTATCTTTATTTTAATTTAATTAATTTATTTATTTCTTACCTTTTTATCTATTACCTTTTTATCTAACATGGTTTTTTGACCTTCTTAAGGCCACACCTTTAAAACTATCTAAGGTAAGTAATTGTGATCGTATTTTTACCTTTTAATTTTAAATTACAATTTTCTTAATTTAAGACAACCGGCAAATTACGTAGTACCGAAAGGGCGGTTCAAGGGTGCTAATCCTTCCTTGACCGTAATCGACTCCCGAATCCGACATATCTTTGGTAAGACGCAGATCAGGTAAGATATAAGGTATCCGATTAACCTATTTATTTTTTAAATAAATAATCGGTGGCGAATCCAATCACATTTTTCAAGTCGAAGCCCAATTCCGGGGCCCAACCGAAAGACGGTTACGACAGCTTGGCGACTCTGCTGGGGACTTTCAAGTGAGTCAGGCTAAGGTAATTTTCAGTTGTCTTTTTAACGAAAAGGGTAAGTTTAAATTTTAAGGTAACATTTCGATCCTTATTGCTTACTTTTGATTATATTTTTTCGAGTAAATAGTTGTACTAACCGTTTTCTCAATGATTTCAGCACTTAAAGTCTTTTTTCATCTAAGGCTCTATACCCGAGCTCCAAACCCTATTTAAGTGAGGGTGAAAGCGACGCCTTCGTGTGAATTTATTCACCGTGCGGGCCTAGCAAGTAGCCTTCGGGATTCATATACCTTATGTCTTCGTGTGAATTTATTCACCGTACGGGCATAAGAGAATGTGTCCTCTCGAGTTTAACTTAGTCCACACAAGCCTGTGATGGGTTTAGGACTAAGGGTCTGGCAAGCCCAATGGGGCACCGGCAAGGATAACTCGGGTACATTTTTTAGAACCTAACCCGAGAGACTTTGAAGAATTAGAGCCTACCCCAAAACCTCATTTCAAACCCTAGGATGCCGGAATTATTTCCTAGTTTATTTTATGTTCAAAGCATGCGAACTAGAAATTTATGCGGTTAGGACTTGTTCAAAATCAACTTGCGGGATAGAGATCATGTTCGGGTAGGAATAATAAGCATGTGAGGTAGATATCATGTGGGGTAGGACTTTCATTTTTATGATCATTTTTTATTTATTTTTCACCTCACTAACTCTTTTCATCTTTATTTTATTTTATTTTATTTTATTTTCATCACTTGCATCATTCAAAAGAGGTCATTGATCCACTAAAACGTGTTTGTTAAAACTCGAATAATCTGAATACATGGACAAAGGTGTTGTAATACAAGAGATGAAAATACAGAGGATAGTCTATAAGGCGACTATGTGTCACATTCAATCCAGAAGACGTGGTGCCCACAATTGAAGAATATATCACTCTGCTGCATTATAAAGGACTCAGAATGAACCAGGTCTACATCAAGCACAATGAAAGCTTATCTTTGAAGAACTGACTGGCAGAGGTTGCAGGGGCAGGATGAAGGTTATGTATCTTGGAAGTCCCTTTGAACACGACAATGGCAAAATAATAGCTGAAATTGGAGACCATTGCTGGCGAATTCAAGAGACAGATTAATGAACTTCACATAGTTCCTATCAATTAAGGGCTCCAATGACGAATTCGTTGGGAACAGGCTCAACAAAAGTAAATGCTCGAGATGCGATCATTCGAGACTTCTTGGACCAGTACGAAAAACAACTCAACATTTTCACGGTTCATCCAGAGAGGCCGGAGCGGTTCGACAGGTTATTCAACCGGTGAAAGATGAAAGCAGAAGACTAGTCAACATGTCAGAAGCTGTCAGGATATTTTTGTCTCTTAAAAGATAAAACATTTTTGTCCCCAATAAGGATTATTCATAATAACAGGCACATTTCTTGGATCAATGCCTCGAACATTTCATGCATTTTTGCATCTTCATCTACATTTTTAAGCATTTTCATGAAATTTCTTCCTAGAAGATTCGATGAAGTGGATTTAACCACATGGAAGCAAGATTGTAATCTTAAAGAAAAAAAACTGAAAATAATACAATGGGAGCCTGATCAGCTGATTGTAGGACAAAGCCTGCCATGATGATCTAAAGAATCTCCATATCCTAAGGGCTACGATGTTGAAGCTGTTAGCTGTTACCACATAAGAAACCCCAAACATTCCTCTAAAATCTGTAAGGCACTTGTCGAATGGGGCATGACATATACCATTTGAACTTAGAGGATTGTTTTGGTTGAACACATCTTTTAAACGATTGAATTCATGTTACTTTCTAAGGTGGAGTAATTGAACAAATTTTAATCTTTAGTTATTTGAATATTAAATGAATTAAGGATTCTTTTAACTCTTCAAGAATTATAGATTTTTGACATATGACAAGATTAGACCTTTCTTATCATGTCTCAAACCCCAAAATGAAATACCTTGATCATTACCAAAAAGACCAAATTTTGACATAACTTCCCTTTGAAATTCTTGAACATTGTCTTTATCTTTTTGATACACCCATACCTTTCGTTGAGTTAAATAAAGTCACACAATTGTCTTTTTAGACTCAAAATTGACATTTTAATACCCAAGGCATTGAGTTGTTCATTTGAACACGAGCATTCTTCTAAGACACAATTTGGGGCATCTCGCCAGGAGCCTGAACATTGAGATATGTTGGGAGCAAGGAGCAAAAAAACAATTCATTCGAAATAATTCTATCACGCATTAACTACACTATTTTCATGTGAATGAAATTAATCCTGAAAATCTATCCCCCTGGGGATACCTCTTCTGTGAGGACTTCCATGTATGAAATGATGAACGGCTTTCTTTCTTTATCCCTTTACAACAGGAGAAAATATATATCCCTTGTGTCCCCTTTTGAGCCTGTAGTATTTTTCTTCTGATTCAACCCTAACTAAGGATCACCCTCCATATTGGGGGGCAAGGTGGAAGAAATCTGCTCACATGAGTGAAGACATCAATCAAAAGGAGACACCAAAAGGTGGACCAAATGCCAAGTGCAAAGATTCAATCAGAATAAAAAAGGCAAAAAAAAGAAGAAGCAAAAAACAAAAGC